ATTGCTAAAGGTTTCTGAAGAGGGAATTCACTTATTTGTATTAGTCATTCATTATAGTTAGGGGGATTACTTATACTTCTGACTTAGAACCATAATACAGGCTTTAGAAAGATTTCTTAGTGTTAATGTCTAATTATAAAACAGTATTGGACTGTTAAAATGTTTTTTTAATATAGCTTAAAAGAACATTCACTTTAATTAGAATTACCTGTATTTTTCAGTGTAATATTTTAAATTAAATAGGTGTAACCAAATTATGAGGCACTTCTGACTGAGACTATTTTACTTTTACAATTTCTTCTCAGTTTCCTTGAGAGTAATGATTCTTAAATTGGAGATGGGATCAAGAAATCAATGAGTTTATAAACCCTCATTGTAACTTTGATGTGTGCTAAAATTTAAGAATCACTATTGTAGTGCGTTATTTTATCGTTTCTTTTGTGTTTGTGTAACTGTAAGTGTATATAATTTGTAGTCATACATATTATATTATGACCAGGAACATCAGATTAGTCATATAGAACAGGTATCACAGCACTCTATTGTTGCTTTCCTTCTCTCTTCAGACTGATTGGTTCATGACTTTGTTCAGTGATAAGAAGAAAAGTCCTATTTTCACTGAAAGATCCAGTGAATCATCTTATTAACTGTATTACATCGTTGGAAGTTATCGTTCCAATGTAAGTGTTAAGTCTCTTCTCATTCTATTTGAAAATATACTTCTGTTATTAATATAAATAGGAAAGCATTTGCTAAGTTCAACTTTTCTTCCCATGGTCAGAGGAACTATAAGGCTGTACTAGGGAGAACAATTGTACTACTTATTCAGTGTCAGTTCACAGTTCTCTGTGAGATCTTGATGACTCATTTGATTAATTTTGCATTTTCAGATGAATTAAGCAAATTAAATAATAGAAACCATTTGCTTTGATTTCAACATTTACTGTAGTCATTTACATTATAGTCATACTAATATTGGTTAAGCTGTATATGGAAAGTGTTAGCATAAAGGATAAGTAAATTGAAAGAATCCATACTCAAAACAAAATTTATATGCTCTGAAAGAAAAAAAAAAGACTACTATTGATTATCACATTTTATTTTGGTAGCCCGGGGGTTTGAACTCAGGGCCTCACACTTGCTAGGCTGGTGCTCTTCTCACTTGAGCCACTCCACCAGTGCCAGTCATCATATTTTAAGAAGAATGATTAGGAACTTGAAGTTTTGTACTTGTGTTTAGGCTTATGTGGCAAATTACTGAAGGAATTTAGCATTGAATTTGGACATTTAGCCAGCAAAAATATTGCAATATATTTCATACTCAAAGCAAACTTTCAGTAATAAAATAATAATAGAATAAAACCACATTGTACCCAACACAGTGCTATAAGCAATGTGGATGGTTTTGTTGGACTTTTTCCATCTTTACTTTGATAGTCATCCAAAGTTTATATTGAACTGTACTTTTGTAGTTCAGCAAATTCAAATTGCTTCCCAAGAAGTTTTGTAATGTGTTCTTCTTTGTCTTTAATATATGAAAGATTGATTGTGTTATATGAGGTATGACTGTTAAGTGTTGAGCCATAAACCACACATAAAGATAAGTCTTACTACTATAAAGTTAAATTTGAAATGTTTGCTAACACATTATATCGATTTTGTACATTATATGAAAATGGGCAGTAGCTGTGTGAGAGAAGCATAACAGTACCATCAAATCTTGATTATCTTTATTAATAGAAGTGAGCATTGGTGAGGGCATGTATAGATTACAAATCAACAAAAATCACCTATACTTACTCCATCATGATATATATTTCATCATATGTAATATAGTCATAGTGTTGTATGTATACATGTTTGTGTTTATGTGCATCACAGATTTATTATCATAATTAGACTTTGTCTCAGGCTATTTTAAAAGTTTTTAACTTGTATTTATGATGCATATAACAGTAGAAGTGATAACTGAAATGGTAGCTCAGAATTAATATGTTAATTTAATAAAAATAAAATTAAAAGCAAATTAAAATAAAATTAAACACAAGCTTCTATAGTTGTAGCAAAAGAAAGGTAAAATAAAAACTTAACTGATTATGAAAAATCTGATTTTGAATATTGTTTGTTCAACCAATGGCACTATTTCCCACTTCCTAGCAAGTTTGCCTAATTTTATGATTTAGAAATATTAGCACTAAATTATTTTATATATGTATAAATCTTTCTATGATCTGGGCACAGTTGTGCATATCTATAATCCCAGGTACTCTAGATGTGGAGTTTGAGAAGATTGTGATTCCAAGCCAACCTAATCAAAAAGCTAATGAGACCCCCATCTTGACAAATAAGCTGTGTGTGGTGTTACGTTTCTGTAATTCCAGCTAGGTGGGAGGCATAGCTAGGAAGATTCCAAGCTGAGGCTGACTCCAGGAAAAAAATTGGAGACCCTGTCTGGAAAATAACTGAAGCAAAAAGGGCTGGGGGGCATGGATCTAGTAGTAGATGGCAGAGACTTGCCTAGCAAGATCTCTTTACTTAAGGGAGCTTTTTTTTAGTAAAGACTAAAAGGTTTGGAATCATTGACGTAGGTACGTAACTGGAAACGGAAGTGTTGTACACTGATGAATAGTTTTTCTCTACCACTTTCCTAGTGTAAAGTAAGGTTAAATTTTGAACTTCTTTCTTGTCTTTGTAAGATCTCACTATGATTTTGTCTGGGAAACAATTTTTTTCTTTCTCTTTTGCCTCCAATGTCCATGAGCATGTCAAATATATTAAATGGAAATGGATCTTCCTAATTTTTTTTGTAGGCTGGCAGAGTGGCTCAAGCAGTATGAGCACCTGCCTAGCAAAGGTAAGGCCCTGAGTTCAAACCCCAGTGCCGCCAAACACACACATACACACACACACACACACACACACACACACACACACACACACACACACAACTGATGCTCCTCTATTTTCTTTCGATGTGAAGGGTAACTTTTTGATCCAGGATTTTTGCATACTGGCAATTAATCATGTCTTAAGATGGTTTTATTTGCACATAAAGGTTCTGTCAACTTCTGTTTAGAAAATAATTTCTCAATTTCAATATTGTCACTTTGTCACTATAGGAGCATTAATGTTTTTGTTTATTTTCATAGATGATTTACCTGGAGATTGTAGACCTAGGATTAGGCAATTAAATTTTTTAATTTTTGCTAACATTGGCAAAGGAAATTTTCCATTAAGGAACTGGAAATGTCCATTTGCAAAAGAAATTGACAAATTAAGAAGGAATTTTAGTACATATCATATATCATCAATTTAAATTATGTAGTTTATATGTGATATGTCTAAAAAATATTTATCAGGTAAAATTATTTATCTTCCTAAAAAATTTACATGAAGCTAGCATTATTATGACCTATTTACTTTTTAGATTGAATATTTGAGTTAGCATCAAACAATTTAGTGATGATTCAGGAAAATAAAATTTTAAATAGCATTGCCAATAATTATTACATGTTCTGTCAACTCAAGTAGCATCTTGCTCTTTTCAGTGTCCAAAATACACTCTGAAGATCATTTCGTGTGATGAATGAATTACCAAAATCCAAAAACCTGATGTGTAATCAATTCAGTTCATTCTTCTTCAGTGATTAATTTGGATATCACATAGCTGATCAAACTGTACAAACATTTGTAGTAATAGCAATTTAAAACAAAACAAGCATCCTGTTACATGAGCCATTTTATCACATAATAAAAATAAATATTGAGCCTTTAATTCATATTTCTGAGAATACTATATAGAGATAAATAATAGGTTTGGTTTTTTTGCTTAATTGGATTTTGCAAAATACTTGAACTATCAAAGTCTGTTATAAAGATGTTGTTCTAGTTCTAGTAAGGAAATATGCAATACCAAATTCTGAATGTTTGGATTGCTGTGATATCTCCCCAAATAGGCAAGATATGAATGCCATCTACATAAATCTGTCTTAAACATTATGTAGTTTTCATTCTTGGAATTCAGGAACAAATGCATAATTCTAAAATTGTCCCGTGGTCAACTTTATTTACTCACCTAGATTTATTTGCTTAGACATAGAGCATTTGAATATCCATGTAGTCACTGTACTTGTACATGTTACATAGTTATATATAATTGCATTTATACTGTTTATGCATTTTATAAAATTTCAATGTACGGACACTACCCCAATTATAAAATGTTCTGAGCATATTATATTACACATGTACAGAAAACATTTGTTAAAACTTAGGCATTTTATGCTTTTGTTTATTCTTATTTTCATTTTGGAAAAAAATTTAGTATTGTCACTTTATTTCATTTCAAATAACATTTATTACAAGTAACATTTTATAGAGGGCTCTGGGCATACAGAAGAAGTGACAAATTAGGTGTGATCATTACCCTTACTTAAGGAATTAATAATCTAATAGAGAACTTCAAAAATATTTAAAATGAGAGAAGTAATATATATGAAACTGAATAATGTGTATGAGAATGTTCTTATACTTGTGGATTAGAGATGCTGTACATTGGTTTGAAGCACTATGACATTCAGTCCATTGAGCCTAACACACACAGACAGGCTATCCAGTGTCAATTTAAGTTCATAACAATTAACCTCAGTTATGTACTACGATTATCTCATGAACAAATTTGTTCCACCATCACTATTATTATAGTGTTTTCATGGAGAAAGATAGAAAAAGCCCATCACTTTTTGTCAGCAATAATTGTAGCTGCAATTCATCCCTGAGAAATGTTTGCATTTACCAGTGGATCTAATAATTTTGGTAAATCATTGTGGCTTTTATCACTCAACTTAACATGATTGTATACATTGATAATTTATTTTGTAGTATTAACTTGGTTTATAGTTGATGGTAAGTGTATTTTTAACTCTTTCATATGCTTTAGGTATAAAATATTTTAGGTGCTAACATTTTCTCTCAATATGTTGCTTATTCCCTAGTTGATCTACTGACGTCACAATGTCTGAAATCAGATCCAGCAGTATCACTTGGGATCAAGTTATAACACTGGATCGTGTGTTAGATGAAGTAATTCCAATTCATGGAAGGGGAAATTTCCCCACGCTGGAGGTAAAACCAAAAGATATCATTCATGTCGTAAAAGATCAACTAATAAAGCAAGGAATTATTGTAAAAGATACCCGATTGAATGGTTCTACAGCAAGTTACATACTTGCAAGTCATAATGGAATCAGTTATAAAGATCTGGACATTATTTTTGGTGTTGAACTTCCAAGTAATCAAGACTTTCAGGTTGTTAAAGATGTAGTTTTAGGCTGTCTACTTGATTTTTTACCAAAAGGTGTAAAAAAAGACAAGCTCACCCTAAAGACCATGAAAGAGGCTTATGTGCAGAAGATGGTCAAAGTGTGCAATACATATGATCGTTGGAGTCTCATCTCTCTTTCAAATAACACAGGGAAGAATGTAGAGCTAAAATTTGTGAATTCGATCAGACGACAATTTGAATTTAGTGTTGATTCCTTTCAAATTCTTTTGGATTCCATGTTAGATTTCTATAGTAACAAAGATGCCAAGTTAACCAAAGAATCCTGTCCTGTTGTGGTAGCTGAAAGCATGTATGGAGACTTCCAAGAGGCAATGATACATTTGAAATACAAGCTTATATCTACCAGAAACCCCGAAGAGATTAGAGGTGGCGGCCTTCTGAAGTATAGTAACTTGCTGGTTCGTGACTTCAAACCAGCTTGTGAAGAAGAAATTAAGACCCTGGAACGTTATATGTGTTCTAGATTCTTCATTGATTTTCCTGATGTAGCAGACCAGCAAAAGAAAATTGAATCGTACCTCCACAACCATTTCATAGGTGAAGAATACAGCAAGTATGAATACCTTATGATGTTGCACGGAATTGTGAACCAAAGTACTGTTTGCCTCATGGGTTATGAAAGAAGACAGACTCTAAACATGATTACCCTTATGGCCTTAAAAGTACTGGGAGAACAGAATATTCTGCCTAATACAGACAATGTAACTTGCTTTTATCAGCCTGCTCCATACTTAGTTACTGAGGGAGTATACCCTACTTGTTATGTAACATCTGGGCCACCACACATTTTCTTCCAGCCACATCATGCATTGTACTTTCATGTTCCAAATGGTACAATTTAAGAACCATACATACAGCAGAAACTTTGCTTTAATTAAACACCTCTTAAAAGCAAGTTAATAGGTGGTAAACAGTTATTACCTATTTACCATCAATTACAGCTTATACCATCATAGTAAATACAATTATCACCTGTGAACTAACACCCATAAGTGGTTTTAAAATGTTACTGACTGTTTAAAATAATTTCCAAATGTGGAACACTTGGAATGATTTTCATATCTTACCACTTATGACTTCAAATTTGCTATGACAAATAGAGATGCTTTCATATTGAACTAAAATATAAAAGAACGCCACAATGCTTTAAAATCCAGCAGTATAGTGAAGACATACCAACATTTTTATATTCCATCAATTCCTTTGTAACACTCCATTTTTCTAATGAACAATGCCATCCATGAATTTTAGTGCTTAATTAGAAGTGCATGATTTCAGAGGCAACAAATTCAAAAAATATTAAAACATTGGAGATTGTAACCATTTATTTTGTTTCCCAATTAAAGTTTGGGTTCAGAATACTAGTATAGTTTGAAAAAAACACTGGAGTGTTTCTGGAAAGCACTGCACATTAGTACTTTATCATTTATACAGTAAGCCATTTGGTAAGTTTTGGATATGACAAAAACACCATCCATTTGTAAAACCATAACTGTGACCAGTTTTGCAGGGCTCTTTTTTGCACCCAAATTAGCTGAAAAGAATGAAATCACCAGTTCTGAACGTGAAAGCTTTATATCCATACAGTACCACTGAGTTTAATTGAGAAAGTAACATTGTAGCAAATTGTTTAATCTCACATAGTCTGTGCTCAGATTGAGCAAAATTAGTGTTAATATTGTTTCCTTCCAGTTTGTAAAGTGTCAAAAAAATACAAAAATTTTCACATAGTTCTTATGGATGTGAAGTGAATGTTTAAGCCTGCAAAACAAAAAAAAATTAAGGCAATTATCCAAATAATTCAAACCAGAAACATGTCACTAAGTAATGAACAATGAAAACTAAACTTTAATTTTTTATTATTCATATCATTGATTTATGTATCCCCATATAAACTAGACCAAAAACAACTATTGAATATAAGAAAAATCCTACACTACCATTTTATTAGATATAAAGCAATTCATCCAATAAAGAATAAATTTAAAGCGAGAAGGAAGTCTGATTTCATAGCTAAGCAAACGAATTACATCCATAATTATTTCTCTTAAACATGTGCTTCAGGCTTCAATTCAAAATCAGTTATTTAAAGAAAATATCAATGAAAGGAAAAATAGTCAGAGTGGTAAATTAGAATCATCTGTGTGTACTTGCCCAGAACCCAATAAAACTGCTAGTATGATTTCCTACACTGTTACATCTAGAAGAACTACATTTTAACATTTAACACTTTAGCTTTTTAGGAAAGCATAAATATAAATATAGCTTTATAAAGATTTTAGGTGCCTTTCTATTCCTACAGTTCACATCACCAGTTTTGGTCTTTTAGTGTAAAAAAAATTGAAGTGTTCTTAATAACTTACTGTGTTTCTGTAAATGGACATTTTCAGTAGTATTTCAGACATGCAGTATCTAAAGAAATGTCTGAAATGTTCAAGGCTGGGTGAAATGTATATCTTTGCTTTAACGTTGACTGTGTGTTAAATCAGAATAGTTTTTTACTATATGATTCTGAGATTCATATGTTCTATTTTGAAAAATGTATTTTACTGACAAAAATTAATGTTATATAAGCATTGCAAGATCTTTTTGGTGGAAGCTATTTTGTATTTGATGACACTATGAAAATTGTACACTTTATTATTTACTTAATAGATATTCTACCATTATTATTTGCTTTGTCTTATTTTGTGCACTTTATGTAAAAAGTAATGTACTATAGATATTGTTAATACTTTAAAATGAGTTTTGAAATAAAATCACTGTGAAACATGCAGCAGTGAACAAACTGAAAAATGGGTAAATGCCTATAATTTCAATACTACTGTGCTAAGTAAAGTATTTTCAAAAACAGTACTTAGTTTTTTTTCCTTGATTTCTCCCTGACTTCCTTGGAGATTGTACATATGGAACATGGGAAGGGACTGGCCTTCTGTATATTATGACTCTGTATAATTGTCTTTTACCATTTATGACAAATTAAACATCAGTTAAGACCACTCAACAGAGAATACTATCCACATAGTCTAATTATATACATTCCTGTATTCATTCATTTCCCTAACTTCATTTGATTTTACATTGAGAAAGATTGCTTATTTATTGTCTTCCCTTCAAATTAATTGTATGGTGCAACACGGTGAATTAGAGCATAATTGATGGCAAGATAAATAAAATGGCAGAATCATTCAGAAAAATAGGTCAAATATTACAAGTATTTAATCTAATCCCCTTTACACAAGCATCTATGTTGCACACTGAGCAGATCCAGATGTGTATCAGATCTGTATATGCTGACCACATATCCACGTAATGATCATAAATGATTATGGAGTGAAAAATAGTTTTGAATACAGTCTTCATTAGAAGAATAAAAACTGTAATAAATTGGAAAGAGAGTACAACACTCAATATTGGTTTAAATATTGGAAATAAATAGCAATATATCAGTAAATATCCTTAATAAAGATAGGGTATTTTCTCTATATAATGTAAATTACTAGAGGACTAAGGCTTGAAATAAAATAGATGATTGCATTGAAAATCCAAAGTGACTCACCAATACACTCAAAACAATTTTTAAATCATTTTATATGCAAGGATAAATTTTGCCATTTCGGTACTTCAAGCATTGCAAGAAATCCTAGATATTGTTCACACTTACATTAAAATAGCCAACTTTAAATTTAGTAGTAAGTGGAGTTAATAACTAAAGCAAGCCAAACATATTCCAGACACATTCCTATATCTGCCCCCATGATATTTTGTTGTAACCTAGTTAAATGTGCTGTAAAAAGTCTATTATTTTTTATATGATATATCAGGTACAGTAATACTATCTCATTGGGCATTAATGGAAGTAAGGTTCATTCACTATTGGAACCCTAACAATGATGACATTAAATTACTTACATAAAACCTAATTTCTGATTAGGCTGAGTGATTGCAGTACTTGTCCTCCTTACTTCCCCATTATTATTGCCAATGTTAAAGTGGAGACACGCCTTTACACATAACATACACAGATATTCTTATCCCTGCCTAAACTAGGTACAGTCTTTAGCAACTTTATCTAAAATTACCTAGTTGTATGGTTTTTTCAGGAATAAGCTTTGTTTTATCTTAAAATTTAAACAGTCTTTCAATGTATTTAAAAATAAAAATATCTGTAGCGACAAAGAGATTCAGAGTAGTACACTATTTCCCACCATTCCTCACATTAAGTCCTGTTTACACAAACATGTAGCCCTTCATAGTTGCTTCCATGTTCATTGCTGTATCCTGTATTGTTTTAGAATCCTCATTTCTAAACTCACAGTGAGTTGCTATGGAAATGATTAGAACATTACATTCAAAATTCAAATGACATAATCAAAATGAGTCTCCTTTACATATACATATGTGTGTGAAATGGAGCTCACTTTTTCTCAGGTTGATATTAGAGACTCCCTTCCCCCACATTAGCACAAGGATACATGAATGTGGCAGGCACTTAATATACATGTCGGGAAGGAAAATCATTTTTCCAGTATTAAAAAGAGACTGAAAAAAGTGGTAAGTCTACAGGAGTGTTTTTAGGTTATAGTTGCATATTTAGTGAAACTGACCATTTTTTTAAGCACACAGCAACAACAGTAAGATAGTGGCTGATCTGAGAGTTTAAATTAACATTATAGAAAATTTTAAAAGAAAACGAGGGAAATTAGAGAACTTTTGTGAGAAAGTAATTATGCTCGTATAAGTTTCTGATACCTGGATAGATTGTAAAAGTGATTGAAAACTCACCTGAACAACCTTTGTTTTTCCAAAGATGTATCCTTTGAAAACCCACCCAAAGGTCACTATTTCTGAAGACGGGATTTCCTTCAATCATTCCAATATCTATATGAAGTAACTTTAAGCAAATCTGGGGAAGCACTTGGAAACTGTTAAGTGTAATTTTACTAATACCCTTTCAAGGACTCATAACCCTATATATTTGATTGTGCATCCTAACACCACCTCACACTCCACCGTGCCAGCCCATGCAGCTTATGCAGATATCTTCATGTTCTTTCTTTCATGAGCTGTACTCAGTATACCCCTATATCAAAATATAGTAGGAGAAAAATGGCTAAATTTTAGTAAGAACAGCAAATGTTTTAGTCTTTCTAGAAATAGACTTTATTTTTAGAGATGTTTTAGGTTAATAGCAGCACTGAGCAGAAAATATAGTTCTGTATATCCACTGCCCACACATGTCCATCCTTCTACTATCAACATGTCAGACCAGAATAACATTTGTTACAATTGATAAACCTACACTGATAAATCATCATCCAATGCCTGTAGATCATATTAAGGTTCATATTGTGTAGTACATTCTATGCATTTTGACAAAAGCAAAATTACATGTATCCATCATTATAATATCATACAAAATCATTGCAATGCCTTGGAAATCCTCTGTGCTCTGCCTGTTCATCTTTACCTCTCCCCTAATCCCTGGAAATCACTGATTTCTTTTACTGTCTCCAAAGTTTTGCCTTTTCTAGAATTTCATACATTTGGATTCATGCAGTAAGTCTTTCAGATTGAATTCTTTCACTGAGTAATATGTATTTAAGTTTCCTCCTTGTCTTTGCATGGCTTGATAGCTAATTTCTTTTTACAGAAGAATAATATTCCACTTTCTGGATGTATCATAGTTTATCCATTCACCTACTGAAGGACATCTTGATTGCGTCCAAGTTTTGACAATTATGAATCAAGCTTCCATAAATGTCTGTGCGCAGGTTTGTGTGGACACAATTTTGTATTCATTTGGGTAAAAACTAAGGAGCATGATTACTGGATGGTATGGTAAGTGTATGTTTAGATTTTGAAGAAACTGCCAAAATGTCTATACCATTTTGCATCTGGTAATGTCAGAATAGTTCCTGTTGCTCTATATCAACACCAGCTTTTTAAAATGTATTTGAGATCTTCTTTGGTGAAGTGTCTGTTCACATCTTTTGTGCATTTTAAAAATAAGATTATTGAGAGGATCCAAGATGGCATTTAGTGTAGGGAATCAGAAATCCTAAGCTCCATGACTCTAGAAACCACCTTGAGTTGTTGGCGGTACACTGGGTAATTATGATTGCTTCTAGCCAAGATAATAACCCACCAACACATTAGGTGCACATAAAATTCAAGGACTGACCCTTAAAACATCTTTTAATTGCACCTGACAGCCAGAAAAATACCGCATAGCATAGCCAGCAAGGAATTTCCTGCCCTGGGGGGAAGAAACCTGGCCCTTTCTTTCTTTCTTTCTTTTTTTCTCTCAAGAACCAGAGGATAGAGCATCAATCAGGATTGAACTCTGTGACATCCTGAACCCCTAACCCATGGAAAGCCTCCCTACACTGCGCCACACACAGAAAAGTGGCATGCCATTTCTCCCTGCTGGCCAGCTCCAAAGCTGCTTGCATAAATCTGCAGAATGAACAAGAGAGCATCATACACAATGAGTGACTCCCCTACCCATCCCCCAGGAACATAATCCAGTGCAGCCCTGGGCAGATTGAATCCCCCCCCAACAAAACTGAAAAGCCTAAATAGCAGATTGTAATGTAACACCAACAGTGGAGGTAGGAGTGGAATGCTAAACCTGTTCAGGAGAACAGGTGGGACAAGAAGCAGAATTCTCAGTGCCCAACTCTCAGTGAATGAACATGGGAAGAACAACGAAGTCTGAGAGTGGGGTGGGGTGACAAGCCAACCTCCCAAAGTGGGGCAGGAGGCTGACCCCAGAGCTGGTCTAATGGGACAGAGGGCAGTACTCAAAACTGAATTGTCATATTTTGCTGGGGGAAGAGGTGACCAAACAGAGTTGCAGCTGTAGGGTAACACAGCTGCTGCCTGGTGAAAACAACTCTGACCACCCTGCATGAATGGGCAGTGAGTTAATTCAGCTCCTAAATGCAACTTGCCCTGTGGACAGAAGTAAACAAATACTACTCACAGGCCAGTCAGTCACCTGGTGAGACCACATCAGAGCTCCTGCTTGTATGCCAATAGCAGAATTGGGTGCTAAAGGAATAACTCCTGAACGTTTACTAAACAGAATGAACGTTTAGTTGGTGCAGTAACAGATGTTTTGTTGTTTTCCTTTCTTCTGTATTATTAACTTTACCATCACTATTTCTTATCCTTATTCTTACCACCTTCACTTTCCTTCCTTTTCCTGTGCTACAATCCATTGCTCTCCCTCCCAACTACTCTTTCTGCCCATTCTCGTCCACTCTCTCACCCTGTCTTCACCTCCTTCTCCTATCCTCCCCCAACCTATAATCATACTACACCTCCTTCCTACATACTCATCAACTGCCCACTAGCCCCTTTTACCAACTGTACAAAGCCCCAGTCCCCTGAAATCCCTTACAAAACACCCTCCACAACAACAATAGAAATACATGGAAACATGCACTAGGGCAACAAAACCAGCAGTCCCCATACATCTCCCCCCCACCCTTTTTCCACCCCCCTTTTAGTGCCAACTTTACCAATGACCAAAGATTTTATATCTAGCCTAATAACCATTACCTCCCCAACTCCCAATGTTTATAGGTATTATCACCAAGGGCTTTTCTATGTAATATGTAAACAACTGGTCTGGCATTGAACCTGTGAATTTATTATTGCTAAATTATACCTCCAGGCCAGGGACAGAAAGTGCACATCAACCTAGCTAACAACCAAGTTATCCACAACATGAAAATTTTAAAAAGGAAAAGAAAACAAGCCATTAAAACCACCAAGTAGCCTACCAAGAACACAGTTGCAGAGCACCGAGTGGAGCAATGGGAAGAAGAAATGATGCAAATGACACTCTGCAAAAAATAATTCAATAAAGGATTTGGTGGGAAATGATGAAAATGGATATTCAGTTCCTGACCACAATAAAAATGATAAATGTGATGCCCACAAAAAATTCCTTCAAAGAGGAAGTCCAGGAAAAAATCACAGAGAAACTCATGGAGAAGATACTAGACACAGCCAGAATGTACAAGATAAAATCAAGAAATTTCAACACACCAAAAACAAAGAACATGTGAAGACACAAACTCAGAGAGGACTTCAACAAACACCAAAGTGAAACCAAGGACACTATTTTAAAAAGATATGAATTAAAGAAGATAACACAAAATATAAAAGAGGAATTGAACAAAGATACAGAAAACCTCAGAAAAAAGAATGAAACAGAAATCCTGGAAATAAAAAAAACCCTTTAATCAAACAAAAAACACAATGGAAGTCCACTCACTCCAGCAGACCAGAACAAGTGGAAGTCAGAATCTCAGAGCTCAAAGATAATATAGAAATTAAAGAAAAAACAGAAGAAATCTTAGTCAAACAATTCACAAGCTGTGAAAGAAATATGCAAGAAGTCAATGACTCCATCAAAAGACCAAACCTGAGAATCATGGGCATTGAATAAAGACTAGAAGTGCAAGCCAAAGGGATATGTAATATATTAAATAAAATAATAACAGAAAAGTTCCCAAATCTTTTTTTTTTTTAATGGAAAACTGTTAGTGCTTTTCTTTAATGTGTTGTGGTAAGGAGAGTTCAAATCACAGCATAACAGAACTCATCTAAGCAAATTAATCAGTTTGTAGTCAGCATATCACATAGCAGAATTATTCAGTTAGGGAAAAACACACAGTTGAAAACATTACATTTTAATTTCCCACGAGTAAACTGATCGGTAACTGTAAAACCATCACTGGAAGAACGTGGAATCGTCAAGCATAACAAACCTACAGAAAGATAATTGTCTCCAAACTGAAGACGTGCATTCACCTGCCTCCCCACCTCATCAAGTCTATGCTTAGCACATGTGCAAAAAATACAATACAACACAACTACTGCAATTATTACTATCATTTTCTTTTGCCCTTAGGTGAGAAACACCTGACAGCTACATGCCGAGTCATGCTAACAAAACTAAACCTTTCACTTTCTTTAATAGTAAAATTACCATTACTGAATCATTGTCAAAAAAAGTGCATTCAAGTACATTACCACTTATTTTAAATAAACACCAATTTTGAAACAATCAACTTTGAAAAGCTGCATAAGTTTTTTCTTTAAATCCCTGATTACATTTCTATTTATTCGCGGTGGTAGCCTGAAACATTGTATTTTTAGAGACTAACTACCACTTAATTTCTTTAAAAAACAAAACAAAACAAAACAAAAAATCCCATGTAATGTAGAACAGCAGTGAAGCAAGAAAAATGTGTGTTTGTCACTTCACTGTACATAAGATCCAGGCTAAAATATGGTGCTTGTGCCATATTAGTATATGGGAAAACACAATTGACTCACAGTACAGAAAGCATGGCTTACCAAGAAATCACTGTGAAATTCAAGGTTTGGACTTTCACCTCAATTCTGCATTCAGGCCCTCATAACCTTCCCACTGAAGTGCTTGGCAGGCTTTGGGCACAGGCAGTAGCAATTGTTAACAGTGTACGATTAGCTTCGACCTAAGGGACTACTAGTTTGATGCCAGTGCCTGAGCTTAAGTTTATCTCAGTCTGCCGTAGAAAATAATCTGTGTGTCACAAGACCCAGCAATTGCCTGCTACTGCAGAGACCTCAAGCAGAAGCTTCTTTAGAAGGGGCCTTGCTGTGTTGCCCAGGCTGGTCTCTAACTCTTGGGCTCAAGTGATCCTCCCGCCTTAGCCTCCCAAGTACTGGTACTACAGGTGGGTACCCCCACAGCTGGCTCTGGTCAGTTCTATTTCTCCAGTTATTCACAAGCACCTTGAATTTTCAGCATTGCTAAACTTGATGCACATTTCCTGCAAAGATACCAACATCTGAATCTTTTGTAACCATCTGAAAGAAATCATACTTAATACAGTAATCAGGAAAAATCTTATCCCTATCAAGACCAAAAACCAAAAACTACTTAAAAATATGCACTTTGCTAAACAGCTTACTTATGTTTATAGTTGCTACTTACAAAAGTGATAACCAGGAAAGAACCTGTATTGTGAATACAGTGACCAGAACAAAATATCTGTAGCCCTTGACAACACACCAAAACAAAGCATGTGCTTATTGAAAAGGACTTCCAACAGGTCAGCCTTCTGGCTTACGGATCAGCAGCTGGAGCTGTCTGTCTCTCTCATTTTTTCAACGCTGTCTTCTTTGTATTCTGGTTTCATTTTGCCTTCATCCTCCTTGCATTGAGTTGGATCTTTTTCAGCGACCTGGTCTTTGGTTTGGGGTTCAGGTGTGGAAACAGGATCTAACACTATAACGGGTTCAGCTTGTCTTTCACTACTGCCCACGTATTTCCTCCTGTATCCACCGTTACTGGGAGGATGTAACCTTGGAACTTGTGCATCCTTCCAATTTACGGGGCCCTTCACCTGGCTCAGGTGTTAGGGGGGACGGACTGTTGAATTCTGCCTCCAGAGTTTTCTTGTTCAAGGCTGGTTTTGTTACACTGGATACAGAACCCAACACTGGCATGGATTTGGACTCTGAGGTGGCTAATATCCCAGTAGGACTACTGCTATCTGCTTCTGCCGTCACCTTTCTGCGACGCAAAATCCTTTCTAACTCAGTTTCACTGTTTTCAGAGTCAAGGGATTTTAAGCTTCTTGAACTAGTGGATTTGTTAAGTGTCCCCAGTATTCCTTTTAGTTCATTCACTGCACTTTCAGAGCCTTTTGAAGATTCTGGCTTTGTCTTCGGTCTGGCTGTCTGATTAACTGGTCTAAGATGAACTCCCTTTTTAATTCTATCCATCATCTCCTCGACTGCTTGCCTCTTCAGATCTGTGACTTCCTCAGTTGTTTCTGGTTGGGTTGCCTTTTCCTTCTTAGCACCACTGCCACTGGGGTGGGACCGTTTCCGGATCATGGACATGAGGGATCGGATAGGATTGGGAGGCAGAGGAGGAAGAGGTGGTAGAGGAGGAGGTGGAGGAGGCACTGAATTCTCAGACTGGTTCACTCGCTTCTGAAGTTCATCCACAGAATGCTTCAAATTCCTGGCCTCCTCGGAATTCTGGTACTTCAGTTCCAGTTCCTTCTTATCTTCTTCTAGAAGCTCCAGCTGCTGCTTGAGGTTATGGATCTCTTTGTGCAAGGTTTCATTTTCTAGCTGTTCTTCTAATTCTTTGACCTTTTGCTGATGCTGAATTCTCTCTCCTTCGAGTTGCTGAATGAGTTTTGCATTCTCCTCTAAGGCTTTCAAGAGCTGCTGGTCAGGGACAGAACTCTGCAGCAGAAGATGGCTTTGTCTCTTTAGCTTGTTTTGTTCAATGAATATCTCTTGTGCAAACGACTCTGCTTTCTTCCGCAGATTCTTTTCCAGCTCCAGGCTCACCTGCATCTCCTCGTACTCCTCCACTGCTAACATGGACACTCTGTTGCATTTTTCTAGGACTTTTCTCTGTTCAAGAACTTCTGAATTTAGAACCACTTTTTCTTGTTTAACTTTATTTACTTCTTCAATTACTTCTACAAGTTTGCTCTTGAGGTTTTCCAGCTCAATAGCTAATTTCTTCTTTTCTTCCTGAACAGATACAATTTGATCTCGAAGTTCTTTGATTTGCTTCTGACACTGGACTGACACACAGGTCTCGGTGGCACTGTCAGTATCCGTGGTTGAATCATCGTCGTCAATGTTTATCTCCTCCGTTATTACATCTGGTCCCAGCTTGGCCATGTATAGCATGCTGAGTCTTTTCAGTGTTTTATTTTCTTTATTTAGCTTTGTTGCCAAAGCTTCAGCACTTTCTTGACAAGTCTTCTCTATTTCAAGATGGTTCTGCATGAAATTAACTTCCTCTATAACCATGTGAGAAATTTTCTGAAACTCTACCAGTTTTTTAACAGCTTCATCTCGTTCTTGCCTAATTTTGTCACACTTCTCCTTTGTTTTCTGGTTCTCTGCTCTGAGGTCTTCATATTCGCCTATTGCTTGCTCCTTCAGGCTGGTGATGAGCTGCAGCTGCTTCTCCTCGTCTGAGCTGTTCATTTTGGCGGGTGGGGCTGGGAATAAAAGGAAAGGAGGGAGCAGGGAGGGGGACCCAGGGGAGGGGAAGAAAAAGCAAGATGCCGGTGGCGTGCGGCGACACTACCCAGAAGTTGGAGTCGCTCCCGCTCCTCCTCCTCCTGGCTTGGAGTGCGCGAGTGAGATCATCCCCATGCACCTTCTCGCCCGCCGCGCCACTGCACCTGAGGCGGGCCGGGCCCAAATTTCCCAAATCTTGAGAAAGTTTTGCCCATTCAAGTATAGGAAGCCTCCAGGACACCAAACAGACTTGACCAAAATAGAACCTCTCCACGGCATATTATCATTAAAACAACAAGCACAGAGAAAGAATATTGAAGGCTGTAAGAAAGAAAAAACAACATATTAAAGTAAACCCATCAAAATAACAGCAGATTTCTCAACAGAAACGTTAAAACCAAGAAGGGCATGGAGTGAGGTACTTTGGGCACTGGATGAAAATAACTTCAGACCTAGGATACTCTACCCAGCAAAACTATCATTCAAAACTGACAGAGCAATAAAAATCTTCCATGATAAACAGAAACTAAAACAATAGATGACCACCAAGCCACTGCTACAGAAGATTCTATAAGGAATTCTGCACACAGAAAATGAAAGCAAAGAAAACCATGAAAGGACAGGAAGCATTAAACCACAGGAGCAGAAAAGACAAGAAATCAGAGAGTAGCAGTGATTTGACTGCATACAATAAAATCCTTAAACAACAAAAACAACTAAAGTGCAGGAATCGCCACATACCTGTCAATATTAACATTGAATATTGATGGACTCAAGTTCCTCACCAAAAGGCACTGTTTGGCAAACTGGATTAAAAAGGACAATCTGACAACCTGTTGTTTACAAGAGACCCACCTTATTGACAGAAATAAACACTGGCTTAGGGTGAAATGCTGGAAGAAGATTTATCAAGCTAATGGCCCCTGAAAACAGGCAGGGGTAGCAATAGTTGTATCAGACAATGTAGACTTCAAACTGACATTGGTCAAATGAGAAAAAGAAGGACACTTCATACTAATAAAAGGGGCAATATATCAAAAGGAAATAACAGTTATCAACCTATATGCAGCCAATGTTAGTACAACCAATTTCATCAAACATACACTAAAGGACTTAAAAGCACATATAGACTCCAACACGGAGGTAGCAGGAGACTTTAATACCCCTCTTTCAGCAATAGATAGGTATCCAGAGAAAAATCAACATGGAAATCCTACACCTAAATGGCACCATAGATCAAATGTACTTAACTAATGCCTACAGAGCATTTCATAAGGCAACAGCACAATATACATTCTTCTTTGCAGCCCATGGAACTTTTTCCAAAATAGACCATATCTTAGGACACAAAGCAAGTCTCAACAAATGTAAGAAACTAGAAATAACCCCCTGCTTTCTATGTGATCACAATGCAATAAAACTAGAACTCAACAACAAAAGCAACAACAGAAAATATGCAAAAAGTCAGAGACTGAATAACACATTGCTCAATGATCAGTTAGTCATAGAAGAAATAAGAGAGGAAATAAAAGGTTCCTAAAATTTAATGGAAATGAAAATAAAACCTGTCAGATCCTATGTGATCATGGACACAATAAAGGTAGACATAAGAAGAAATTTTATAGCCATGAGTGCATGTTAAAAACACAGAAAGATCTCAAATAAACAACCTAATGCTACATCTCAATCTCCCAGAAAAACAAGAACAAGCAGAACCCAAAACAAACAGAACAAGAGAATAAAAAAATAAGGGCCAAAATTAATGAAATAGAGACCAAAAAAATCATAGAAAGCATCAATGAAAGAAAGAGCTGGTTCTTTGAAAAAATAAACAAGATTGACAAGCCCCTGGCAAATCTGACTAAAATGAGGTGGGAAAACACCCAAATTAGTGAAATCAGAAATGAAAAAGGGGAGACAGCAACAAACACCAAGGAAATCCAGGGAATGATCAGGGACTACTTTCAGAACTGATATTCAAGTAAACTGAAATCTTGAAGAAATGGACACATTTCTAGGTACTTATGAACATCAAAAACTGAACCAAGAGTATATTAATTACCTAAACAGATCTATAATAGGTAATGGAATTGAAGCAGCAACAACATGTCTCACAAAAAGAAGGTCCATCTCCTGACAGATTTTCCAGTAAACTGTTCCAGACTTTTAAAGAAGAACTTATATCAATACTCCTTAAACTTTTCCATGAAATAGAAAGTGAAGGAACACTGCCTAACTCATTCTATGAAGCCAGTATTACACTTATCCCAAAACTGGACAAGGACACATCCAAAAAGGTGAACTACAGGCCAATCTCCTATTTAACATTGATGCAAAAATCCTCAATAAAATAATGTCAAAACGAATCCAACAACATATCCAAAAAATCATTCACCATGACCAAGTCGGATTTATCCCAGGGATGCAGGGATGGTTCAACATACACAAATCAATAAACATAATACAGAACATTAATAGAAGCAAAGACAAAAAACACTTGATCATCTCAATAGATGCAGGAAAAGCCTTCAATAAGATTCAACATCATTTCCAGGTAAAAGCTCTGAGAAAACTAGGAATAGAAGAAATGTACCTCAACATTATAAAAGCTATAGATGATAAACCATTAGCCAGCATCATACTTAATGGGGAAAAACTGAAAACGTTTCCCCTAAAGTCAGGAACGAGACAAGGGTGCCCACTCTCCCCACTCTTATTCAGCATAGTCCTGGAATTCCTAGCCAGAGCAATAAGGCAAGAAAAAGAAATAAAAGGAAAACAAATAGGTAAAGAAATAATTAAACTATCTCTATTTGCAGATGACATGATCCTATATCTCAAAGACCCCAAAAACTCCTCCCAAAACCTCCTACACACCATAAACAGCTTTAGCAATGTAGCAGGATACAAAATCAACTTACAAAAATCAGTATTCTTTCTATACACCAACAATGAACAAACTGAGAAAGAATATAGGAAAACAATTCCATTTATAATGACCTCAAAAAATCAAATACTTAGAAATAAACTTAACAAAGGATGTAAATGACCTCTAGAAGGAGAACTGCAGACCACTAAAGAAAGAGATCAAAGGGGACTACAGAAGGTGGAAAGATCTCCCATGCTCATGGACTGGCAAAATCAACATAGTAAAAATGGCTATACTACCAAAATAAATCTACATGTTTAACACAATTTCCATCAAAATCCTAATGACATTCATCACAGAGATTGAAAAATCTATGCTAAAGTTCACTTGGAAACACAAAAGACCATCAATAGCCAAGGCAACACTGAGCAAAAAGCGCAACACTGGAAGTGTCACAATACCTAACTTCAAACTATATTACAGAGCCATAGCAATGAAAACAGCATAGTACTGGCACAAAAACAGATATTAAGGCCAGTGAAACAGAATAGAGGACCCAGATGTGAATCCACTCAGCTACGCCCACCTTATTTTTAACAGATACCAAAAATATAAGATGAAGAAAAGACGACCTCTTCAACAAATGTTGCTGGGAAACATGGTTATCTGCCTGTAGAAAACTGAAACTACATCTATGCTGTCACTCTGTACTACTATCAACTAAAAGTGGATTAAGGACCTTATTATTAGACCTGAAACCTTGAGGTTAGTATGGGAAAGAGCAAGGAATACACTGGAAGCAATAGGTATAGGGAAGGACTTCCTCGGTAGAACTCATGTGGCCCAGCAACTAAGAAAAATGATGGACAAATGGGACTACATGGAATTAAAATCTTCTACACAACAAAAGAAATGGTCTCTAAATTGAAGAAACCACCCACAGAATGGGAGAAAATATTTGCAAGCTATACATCAGACAATGGACTGATAACCAGAATATGCAGGGAACTCAAAAAACTAAACTCCCCTCAAATCAATGAACCAATAACGAAGTGGGCAACTGCACTAAACAGAACTTTTTCAAAGTAAGAAGTCCAAGTGTCCAAAACACACAAGAACAAATGCTATCCATCCTTGGCCATAAAGGAAATGCAGATCAAAACCACACTAAGATTCCATCTCACACCTGTTAGAATTGCTACCATCAAGAACACCACCAAAAACAAATTTTGGTATAGATGCGGGGAAAAAAGGAACTCTCATACAGTGCTGGTGGAGATGCAAACTAATACAACCACTTTGGAAAACTATATGGAGGCTTCTTAAAAAACAAAACATAGATCTGCCATATGATCCAGCAATACCACTCTTAGGCATGTACCCAAAGGAATTTGACCTGGGTTATTACAAAGGCACCTCCACACCCATGTTTATTGCAGAACTATCCACAATAGACAAGCTATGCAAATAGCCAAGATACCCCACTACCAGTGAATTGATTAAGAAAATGTGGTATTTATACACAATGTAAGTTTATCCAGCCACAAAGGAGAATGAAATTTTGTCATTCGCAAGGAAATGGCTGTAACTGGAGAATATCATCTTAAGCGATGTTAGGCTCAGAGGGCCAAAAATTACATCTTCTCCCTCATATGTGGATTATAGACCTGAAACAAATGAAGTAACATTATTGGACATGGGTCACACACTAAAGGGAGATCATGCATGGGAGGGATAGGGAAAGATAAGGAAACCTAAAAATTTGAATGTGGCTGATGGACTCATTGTAGAAGAGCGAATGTAGTAATCTTAAACTGACAGAGGCCACTGTGGGAAGGGGACCAGGAAGTAGGGAAGAGGTTTGGTAGAGATGAACCAATATGGGTCGTAATACACATGTGCATGGAAGCAATGCTAGGAATCTCTCTGTATAGCTATCTTTACCTCAAACTAACAAAAACTCAGTGTTTTTCTTATTATCTCTTATGTTTCCTCTTCAACAAAATTGGAGAACAAGAGGGTGGAACACGTTCTACCTGGAAATGGCGGTGAGGTGTGTGTGTGGGGGAGGGGCCCAAATAATGTATACACATGTATGTAAGTGTAAAAATGATAAAATAAAATGAAAATAAAACATATTATCTAAAAAACTAAATGTAAATCTGATTGGTCATTTTATTAGTATTGAGTTTTAATAGTACCTTCCTTACATTGGATAACAATGCTTTATTAGATACATTTTGGCAAACAAAGTCATCTCTTGGTACTTGTTGGGGGACTAATTCAAACACTTCCTAAATGGATAA